GCAGCTGTTGTGCACTTTACTTCACTACATATCTGCCAAGTCACTGTGGGCAATCATTGAAGTGACCCAAGCTGCACCGGCCTCTGACGTTTCCTTACATAAAATTCTAATTCTGCCAATTAACATAATCTTTATTCTCACACTTTTACTCCCCAGTCGAACAGGACACACAGTACTGCAGTTAATTGCATGTGACAAGGAGCACTAATAATTAACGGGTCTGGACAGCAGTAGTGGTGGGACTGTAGCTGTGAACTCCCTCCTCCTCCTCCTCTCCATCAGATGTGCTGACTCTGTGTCTGTGAGATGCAGCTCCTTGTTGGAGACAAGTGACTATGAATATCTCAGCACAGCCAAGGTAAACAGTGTGTTCTGACTGACTGCTTCATGGTCTAAGATCAGGCAGTCATCTTATTTTGCTGCTATTTAACCTTTTGTCTATTTTTAGCTGCCTTGCCGTATGTATCTGTTCTCATATCTTAGTGTTGAAACTAACTGTATTAAGTGAAACAATTGGTATTTCCTCATCTGTACACTTAAACGGGGCAGAAATCAGTGACAGCAAATGAGGATTAATAGTAATGGATTGCATTTATACAGCGCTTTTCGAGACCCTCAAATTCCACTATTCATTCACTTTCACATTCACACACTGGTGGAGACAAGCTACAGTTGTAGCCACAGCTGCCCTGGGGCAGACTGACAGAAGCGAGGCTGCCATATTGCGCCATCGGTCCCTCTGGCCATCACCAGTAGGCAGTAGGTGAAGTGTCTTGCCCAAGGACACAACGACCGAGACTGTCCGAGCCGGGACTCCAACCGGCAACCTTCTGATTACAAGACAAACTGCCAACTCTTGAGCCACGATCGCCCACTTAATTCAGATACAGCATGAAAGGAGGGGCTGGGGTTTAGATGGGTTGCAAAGCAGCTTGCAGCAGCACAGCAACAGCGGGAAAGCTAAGGCAGCTTGAACAGCTGCATTGGTTCCGACAAGGAAGAGCTGAGGGCTGCTGTATTAAGGGTATGGGATAAAATAACAGACGAAGGCACAAAGCATGTAGTTATGTCAACAAGTCAGAGACAGCAAACAGTTATGCAACATCTACTTCGGTACCTAAAATAATGGCAGATGATGATGGTTTTCATCATTAGACTACAACTGCTGCTACTACTATTAGACTACTAGACTTAGACTACTACTAAACTACTGCAATTAAATGTTAGCAATACATACTTTAACAATGCACAGTGCATTTTATTTTAATTTACATTGACTGTTTTGAAATACAGACCCTAAAGAACAAGGAAAATGTCTTATCATCTGGATACCTGTCAGTTGGATTGATGTAAATATTAACTTAAACAACAAACAAAAAATAAGCACTATATAGCAAAAAGCCATCATAATACATATGCTAATCAACAGCTAAAAGGCCACTGTAACAGTAGGTTCTGCCATAACAGTATGTCAGATCAATTAACTGGAAATAACTATGGGGGTGCCATGTTCACCAACCAGGTGCAACACAGATTAATATTAATATACTGGGCTTTGGAGGCCAATATAAAATTGGCTTTCATCCCTCCTCTAAAGATAAAAAGAAAACACAAACTTAAAGTTTAGTTTCAAATAATATTAGCTCATTAGTTTAATGCTACTTCTGTGCTCAATTTTTGTATTTTGTAATAACGGATTTAGAACTCTTCATTATATCTGCGTACATACTGATAAAGTCTGTAGATTATTGTTATTAATCCTGTTAAGTAAACTATAACCAGAAATACATTACAAACTAATTCCTTATATTAATTATACTAATTGGGTCAGGAAAGCAATGCAAAAGTTTTTATTGCACTTTTCTTTTGGTGTACTCAGTTGGTAAAAGTCCTATCCAGACACATGGCTTTGCATCTCACTATCCTGAATACCTTAGAGCTGCAGTTAATGTCAATTTTAAACTTTAACTTTGAGGTAAAATCCTGTCCTGGCTAATAGGTCTACTCAGGAATCGTTGCAGAGATTTGTATGCGATAATGAGAAGTAGAGGCGCAGTCCCAATTCATTCATCCTTCTAACCTCTGGGTGTAACTTGTAATTACTCCAGTGCAGCTATGGGGTGGTTGGCAGATTAAAAAGAAGTTGCCCTGAGGGTGGTTGGCCAGCCAGTTAAGGAGTCAGACAGCCACCAGGGCTCTGCTGAAGTGACACAAATTCCCTGGCTGACAGGAATGTCAATGCAGCTCTCAAGGTGACACCTGACTGCACTAACTCTCCCGTCTTGTGCCAAGATCACTAAAGAAATACATTACTAAAGTGTTACATGCACACCAGTGTTCACTACATGTGAAAAAAAAAAGTTAACTGAGATGAGTCTCAGTTAATATTTCAAAATAAATTCTATGATTTCTTTCATCTACAATATATATAAGGAAAATTTAGGGTTTTTTAAGAGTCTACAGCCTTTCTAAGTAGCACATGTGTTCACACTCTGACCTCAGTTAAACTATTCATCATTATATGTATGTATATTAAACATGTAACATACACACAGAGGTTTTATATTTGAGGAAATATACCAAATATATTAAATAAATGTTACTCATACTTTTACACCTATGCTGTAAACACAATTTTGCAAGGGGGTATTTTTTATAACGTGGCACTGCTACAGCATCTACGCATACTTCTACCATTGCTAACAGTCCATTATAACACAGTTTAACATCCTTTGGTCATCTTACTCACCAGCTTGTTTGTTCACTGTACATTTTACACATATCTCCGTACAGTTTTTTCTATACATATTTCTGTACATCGTTACCTGTATATACAAACCTCAGTTGCTTATGTATATAGGACCACTTTGTGTCTTCCTTTTATATCTTGTATTCCCCTTGCTACAGGAGCTGTGTAACACCGAAATTTCTCATCCGTGGGATAATAAAGGTGTATGCTATTCTATTACTGCTTGTAATAAGCAGTTATTACAAAACACAGCATATGGATTATATTTTTTAATAAAAGAAAAAAGCAAGACAATATTTTACACTACAAACCTCTTACATAATTACATTGATAATGTATCTGTTACTGGAAATGAATCGTGACCCATCTGCAGGTTAGTGATTTGCTCTGATTTGTCAGTAACCAGCATTTACAGATACTGAACATGTCTCAGTCATTTCTTCCATCTCACCACCTGATGCCTTTCCAATGCTAACCAATAAGAGTTTATGTTTTTCTACAAGGCTGGCACACCCTCTAGTGGTGTACAGAGGAAATTCAGCTGTGCTTGGTGTATTAATCAAACGTAAAATGTCTTCACAATTTCTAAGTATTTGATTTTTTTTCCTGGATTTGACAAAGAGGTAAAAAGAACTAAAAAAAACAAAACAATCTTTTTCAAAGAGCAAAATGCCAATTTTGTAGATACAAAACTTCAACATATAAAAACAACGTGGAAAAAGTAAAAGGGTCCTAATGTTTTGTCGATGAGTATGGAATCCAAAACAGTATTCAAATGAACCGGGTTGTAATCTTAGCTAAAACAGTAGACAATTCCAAGGACTTCACTGTTTCTAGAGCTCAGAGGGAGAGAGAGGAGAGATGGTGGGTTTCAAGACAAAAATCTGGGCTGATGCACAGTGCTGTCAGAGTGAGTAATAGTCCTGTGCACAGATTTCAGTGAGTCTTACGCTTACTGCTCTCTCTAAAGTTATAGATCAGGTATTTGCTCTGTCACTAACTGTCATCTGTCCTTCTGCTGTGCATATATCTATATATCTATCTATATCTATATCTCCTTTCCTCTACTCCCACCAAATTTTTTTCCACACTACCTCTATCGCTTCTGTACCTTTAATTTGTTCTCTACCCACATGTTCACCTGTTTTCTCCCCTTTCCATTCCACATCCACCCCCATTACAGTTCTACCTTACATCCATCATCACCACCTGCCTAGTGTAATTTCTTTCTTCTTTTTCGGAGAACCACCTCCACCTGTTTAGCTGAATGTTTCTTTCTGAAGTTCTCATCTCCCTCATGGTTTTATCCTGGAAATGTCCTCCCAAAAGTCAAACCTTATTCCCAAACTGCCACTCAAAGAAAAAATTATATATATTTTATATGTACTTATTTTTTAAAAGTCATTAAAATATGCTTAGCAGTTCCAATAGGGGGGCCTTAGAGTCCAAACAGAACATCAGTAATGCTTAAGAATGCTAAAATAAGAATTTTAAAAACTTAGTATTAGCATTTTGCTTGAAAACCACTGGATTAGACCCATGTCAACTGTTTTATGTTAAAATGGCTGCAGTGAAAAATGTCTAAATACATCTAAATACATCCTCGGATGTATTTAGTAGTGCGGTGCATTTGTTTCCATCACATTTTTCTGACCCCATGTTCCAGACTGGGGTCAATGAATTTTAAAGATTAGTTCTATCAACCTTAGACTGTCTAGCCTTTCTGCCATTATGGTCAAATTACCCTTTGCAACTGAAACAAGATAAATGAATCAAATGTAAAAATTATATTTATTAGTTTTAAAGTGATGACAAACACCAATGAATGCCAAAAGTTTCCCTACTCACGGAAGCATTGTCTTCACCTCCAATCAATTATTTGGAGCATCACTGCGTTTGTTTAAAATTTTAAAATACCTCCTCATGACTTGTAATACAGATTATTTCATTCAGTTGTAATAAAAGGTACAAACATCTTCTTCAGTCACCTTCAAAGGAAGCTACCTAATTGGGAACGTGTAGCAAAACAACCACACCACTCGGTTTCCAAAGAAGTGGGTTGTTACAGAATGCAATAGTTTGACTTAAAGTCTATATTTAAGTAAATATAATGCAAAGACAATATAAAAATATGCATTTTTTTTTCTTCAGTGCTTGCAATGTGCTTATAGGGTTTGGAGTTTAACCTCAGCAGACTGAGGTGAGAGACATAAAAAGAGGCCACAAAAGGAAAAAAGGAAGCATTTTATTGTGATTGTGGAGTGGACTTTATTTCATATCTTACAGTATTATAGATGATGAAAGATGAGGTGGAACTGTGAACATCAGCGAAAATGGCATAAAGACCTCTGAGACACTAAAATTTGTAGCAGTGTTCTGTTTACAAGCCGGAAACAACAATGTGAGCTAAATCCAAAACGGTAAACAGCAGTCCATAAAATCATGGACTTTGATTCCACTGTTTGACTGAACTGCTCGAGTTGGCTATAAAAAGGACACAGAATAATATAAATTTGTCTTTATATCTATTTTTTATTAAAACGAGTAACATCAAAAGTGTTAGAGGAATAAAAGCACACAAGTGTTAGGCAACCGGAACATTTCATTAGTGAACTCTGTGTTCTGCAAGATAAGGTTCGTCAGTGCATTGTAACATCATGAATTACAAAACTGAAAATATAAAAGAATCAAATACATCTCAAGCGTGAGGGCGGTGTCCTGCCATCAAAGAAGCCAACGTTACGAACAGTGAGCGGATTGAACAAAAAAAAGAAAACAAAAAAACCCCCCCGAAACAAACAAACAAAAAAGAAAAAACTAAAAGAAGACAAAACTACCACACACCACTGCTGTTATTTAAGACATTTTGTCCTTTATCAGCATACATATTATAATGACCAACCCAAGTTACACAATAAGCACAAGGTATGACTACTGAAGAGTTTAGAGTTGAAATACAGCCAGGATCAGTTTCAAAGCATCCCCATGTTCAGGGACAAATTAGCTCTACAGACACCGAGATAATAGTAGAAGAAGAATTACATGTTGCTTTTTACAGTGCAGAAGCTGGCTTACTGAATTACCCCTGTTAACATAAAGTATTAGACAGAGTAATTCATATACTTTAAAAGCTTATTCTTTAAATGAAATCTTCAAGTACACTTCCCAAAATCTATACCATGTAGTTTAGGTTGTTTTTCATTGACAGACACATAACAAGAGGGAAAAATATTTCAACATTTTTATATCTTGTCACCCAAACCACTCATCACTTAGTCTCATCAGCAGTTTATGAAATTATATCTTAAACTTTTTTTAACTAATACTGTTTTGATAGATTTTGAAATTATGGTCCGAGTTTAATGTCCAAAAATCAGAGCAAAAAAGGAAACATTAAATGTCAAACAGAAATGTGATCATCCCTTTCATTCGACTTCCCACTCCCACAAATATCTATTAAAATACAACTTGGGCATCAAATCTAGGCTATTTTTACATATGTGTCTTATTTATATGTTATATACTGGCAGCCAATCCAAAGTCGAGCAATCAGAGGGCGCCCGCACTCATAAATTAAGACTTCATAATTACCGCAGCTCTCATAAATAACCAGTATAAATGGGAGCCAAGCTGTTCCTTGGGAGGGAGTAATTGCCGATGATGATTTGGCAACACGTGTACGCTCTCATTTGTGTGTGAGCGAACGAAAAGAGGAAGTGTCTTGAGTGACTGTCATTATCAAGTAGAGTCATAGCTGTGGCTTGTAACTTTTTTTTGGCAAACAGAAGCATGAAACATTCAGTTGACAGCGTCAAGCAGTTTTGTTTACCTCTCTTCGGTCCCCTGCACGATCCGTCTTTAGGAACGAGAAGCACCGGAGTACAGTAACCCAAAACATTAAAATGTTAACATTGTTAACAAATTTTAATCATATTAAAACTTTTACAAATAATAAAATCTGGAATCCTTCTCCTGTACAGCAACTGGCGATTGCTGACCCTCCCTTAGCCCAGTTGGTTTTGGCAGTGGTCTAACACTTGTGCTTCATGGCAAGCTGTAGAAACATTTGGGTAGGGTTGAAAGACAATAAAGTGAGAGAATGCAAGAAAAGTGTGGAAGACGCACACACAGAAAGACTACAGGTTGGTGCTAAATAATGAGGAGAATTCTACACATCCATCAAGTGGGGGCAGTAAAGTAGCACACAAAAATGAGGGGTTCGGATTAAAGCTGAAGAGTGCAGCTATGTAGCTGTCAACAAGGGATTGCAGAAGTGGACTCAGACGAAGAGTCAAGGTGACCAACTCGCAGCAGTACAGATGCTTAATGTTAAAATGTAGGAAGAAAAAACACAAATCCTTCACATTCCAGCCAGCCAATCCTTTCTCAAAGTCATCCTCAAACAGAATAAGACAAGACTTTTTATCCGTCTCTAAGGTTACCAAAATGCTTTCAACTGAGGATTTCAGGCAGGCAACGGCATGAATCTTGATAACGTGGAAGACAAATGACAAGTTTGAAACATGTCATATTTCAAACATATTTCATAACACATTTCACTCGATGCTCATCATCAAGTGAAATGGGAAACAAAAATGAAAAATTCTTCGTGGGGGTTGTGCAGTCATGCTCTAAAACCACCAAAGCTATTTCCCTGCTTTCCCCCTGTGGTTATTACAGTTTTTGTAATTTCTCACAGCAGGGAAACACGTCTTTTAGCTGTGAGAGGGCCATGCAATACTCTTCAAATGTCTTTCAATTATCTCACCGTGGCTTACAAGGCGCAATGCATCATTCAACTTCAAAAGGTAGCAGATGGCTTTACTATTAAAGTCAATGATATCCCACTATGGCCAGAAATCATATGCCTGTCAGTGAATGGTGTTGTTGAACAGCAAGCTGCAAACCCGAGGTGTCTGATTTACGATGTTGTTAGATATATGATGATCACAATCAGGTGTGCTCGTTACAAAGCAATACAATATTTGCTCTTGTTTTGAAGTAATAAAAATAAAAGATCATGCACTAATAGCCTCATTAAACAGCATGCAATTAGTTTTCCTGACGAACAAGAGATGTGGGATTGATGCAGAGTGAGGGAACACCCTATAGAGAACTATGAAATGGAGTCAATGAAGGGGGGAAAATGACTATCTTCACAGAGCAGACATGCTCAGGTTTTGGAAAAGGTTTCATCTTCATCAATAATGACTGGTAATTCTGCAACATCTCAAAGTCAGAATTCCAGCGTACTACATTAAAATAGTAATCCCACCTTACGTATTTGTAATGCATCTTAGTAACAAATGGACTCACCTTGTGTGCAGTGACAGCAAACTGTTCAGCACTGTTCATCATGTCTGCAGTCCTCTCCTCAGCCCGGCCTAATCGCTCACCACGCTCGTTCAGAGCCTGGCTGGCCTTCTGTACAGCACTCGTCACACTGTCTGCAGCTGAGTGTAGTATACTGTTACCTGCAGATAAGGGTAGGAGAGAAGAAGCAAGCCAAAACGTAGGCAAGGGAGGAAAAAGACAAGCAAATGCAACAACAACAAAAAAAGGAGTGAAAAGACAAGGGGAAAAGAGAAGAAAAATAATGTAAACAGATTAGCTGTCATGAAAGAACTGGCGACATCAGCTCAGGGCTGTGCAATCAGTGACCCTAAGCCTCAGTGTTAATTGTGGAAGACAAAACCATGAAAAACAAAATGGCTTCAAACAGGTGCAGTGTGGGAAGGTGCCTAATGAATTTTCTTCAAAGCTGATTTACTTCAAGGTAGGATCAAGGGAAATTAACCTTTCCCCAACTTGAAAGAATGCAACTGCAACACAAGTAACTCCGAATGTAATGTTTCCTTCAGGAAAGCGGGTTATTCTTGGGGACATTCAGCACTACTTTTCTTCAATTTGAAACTTTCGTGGACAGCTTTGTGATTGCGCTGTCCTTTTTTTTTTTTCCTAAACTACAATATAATAACGAACAGATATGTGCTCGGCGGCATGGGCTACCCTGGAGACCCAGTAGTGGATATAAGACACAGAGCACATCTTCAGATAGCTGTGGCAGCCCTGCGGATGTTTCCTCTGACAAGCCATTAATCTACCACACATTGGGAGTGCTGCCATTATGCACTACTATAACAACTAGACTAGGAACAGCAATCTTCCTGCTGTTTTCTTTTTGTGGAACAGTTGCACTGCTATATAATTTGTCATTTTATACTGATGTAATTTAAGGGAAATGTCTGCACTTTCTTTTAACATTTTCACCTCATACTGCTTTGTCCCAATTCTCCTGGAGTTAAAATGGAACTTTCACTCTGTGGTGAGACGGTCCACTACCAAACATCATTGAACAATAAGAAAATAGGAACTGACAATAAGGGCAGCTTTACTGTAGCATAACATATAACACAACTTTAGATCATTGTCTTTTTTGGGCATTGATCTGTTAACAACCATCAAAAAGGTCAGGTGAGTGAACTTAATTAAAAACAGATATAAAATTATAATATATAATATTAAAAAATATGCATATAATCAGGTTGAGCCAACAGCACAGAGTAAAGCTTGGAAGTACTGAACGTAATTAGGCTCTTTTTCACAGAAAAGTGCAATATAGGTAGTGTACATCCTCTGGCATCAAGGCAGGTAGTCACCTACTTCAGTGATTATATGAGAGCCCAAAAGCAGACAGTGAGGCCAACTGGTGCTCCTTCAAAAGAAGTTAAGCAATTTATGTAGAGATGTATCAGTACTGCAGCACACAGATGGATGCGAGTATAGATGTTTACACCCATTCGTGTGCACACTAAATGAAATGGAAACATACACACGTTTTCCCTTCAATTTTCTTTAAATTACAGTAAATGAAGCACAGTCAATGTGGCAAACACATCTGGACCTCGGAAGAATGTCTACATTTTAAATTCTGTCTACTGCCAGAGTGCATTTCTACACTTTGTCATTATCATGCACTCCCCATTTGATTTCCTTTTTTTTTAAGTTAAAAAAAAACTGTGAAAATATACTTTCTCCTAGGAAATATATTCTCTTCACTAGAAAGGATGAGACATTTTCACCTTCAGACAGTTTCTTCTTAATCCTCTCCTCCTCCAGGGAAGCCCTGGGACTAATACTCCCTTCATCCTCAATATAACCCCAATACTCACAACCACCCAACACCATGCAGACTCAATAAACATATCTATTTATTTGTCTCCTCACCAATATCCTGTCCCTTTTTTTCCCTCTTTTCCCAGAGATGTGTTGCAGGCTGCAACACAGGCTGTAGAAAGTACTCAGATAAAAGACAGGGTGGAGACATTCTGGAGGGTTTTTGATAGGAGGTGCAGTATCAGAAGCCAAATGAAATGTGTAGGAGTAGATTATGTTATGTGGTGCCATCGTTGTGCTGCTCTGAGCCTAGTGTCTGCACTTGAAGAGGAAGCTGATCAGCCACTGTTATCAAAAAAGATAACTTATATGGGTTTTAATTCAAGATGAATTTTAATGAAGCTGAAGTTTAAAGTATTTCTTATTATGACACTGATGTCGCACTAGTAAATCTTAAAGAGGAGCTTTTTGAAAAGATTTGTCACAGCGCTGAATCTGCTAAACCCATGACGCGCCTGTCTCGACAATGTGGAAGGCATTTGGTTATTTTACTCACAGAAATCAACATGATCAGCCAGGGTTTCTCAAACAATGGAGGCTAAAAAAAGGCAAGCTGTTTGCTGGCAAAATATTCTAGAAAAATAAAAACTACAAGCAAAGGCAAACATAACAAGGAAGTTGGGTGTGGGGTGGTGGGATAATTCAAAGTCAACCCTTCCTTTTCCACTTTGTCTGTAAGCAGCAGATTACAGCCTGCGCTGCTGTGAGGCAAAGAAAATAACCTGATAGTTATCAACAAGAGCATGTCAGATACACTTCACAAGATGCTGACAGCCAAGTCACATTTACTATTACAATACATGGGATTGATAAGATTGGACACAAAAGATCCATGCTGGAGTGCTTTTAATATTTCAGGCTGTCAGTCTGTTAGAATAAAGCTGTAGGGTATAATGTGTGTGCGGGTGATTTAGGGGAGAGAATGTTTTGCAGTCATTTGTTACGCATTAGCGTGTGCATAACAGCTCCAATGAGATATTATGAATGAGGCTGGTGTTATTCATGCAAATATAAAATGTACTGTCAAGGATGTTGGTAAGTGCAGCCAATGCTTAATGCTTAGTTTCACCTATATCACCAGCATTTTGACTCTAAAGTACAGAATAACCCATTTTCATCTTGTATAGAGCTTCTTTGCATTTTTCTATTGTGTTAATCACAATTACCAAAACAAAGTAATATGTGCCTTTTTTTCGCTAATTCAAAGAAAAGTAAAAAGCAGATTAACAAAAACTTAAACAATACTGTGTACTCACAACATTAAAATAAGAATAAAAACAGCAAATACCTTCAGTTTTACTCTGTTAATTTGGTCATGTTTGTATCACACCTGCTTGAAGAAGATCCTTGGCATTAGGGATGTTCATGACTGAATCTTCAAAATGTATTGCATTAGTATTGTAATGTATTACAATACTAATATTACAATACTAACTAGCATTCATTCTAAACTTCTTAAATCTGCCCAAATCTAAAAATACCACAAAACATTCAAAAGTAGCACTGAAACTAAACTAAGGTGAAACATCTTCAAACTGAAATGAGCAAACTCATTGTAGAAAGTACCTGAAATTAGACTGAGAAAAAAAATGAGAACAACTAAAAAATACAAATACAACCATTTTGATAATACAAAAAACTATAACTCCGATACCAATATTATCCTATATTCCTGTTTTTAAAAATGAAAACAAAAAGGTAAAACAAGGTAAACAAGGATGTGTGTGAAGGATGCTATAAAATGCATTTTTGTATTCTAACTGCAATTTTCTGATAATAGTTTATCTTAAACTGAATGTATTAACAATTTTAATGTTTTTGTGATAAAAGGACACCTTTCAATTATTTTTTTTGGATTAAAAAGAGTTTCGTGGATGTCTGTGTGTGTATATCTGTGTGTCTGTGTGTGTGTGTGTGTGTGTGTACCAGTGGAGAGAACTAAATCAAAGAGCTAAATACATTATAAAGGCCCAAAGAAGCTTTAAACAGAGTAAGTAAAGCTTCTAAGAAATGGAAAAATGCTCCAAACATTAAATGCTTTACATTCTTCTATATGTGGATCAGTCAAACAATGTCTTAATACGTGTCAATGTATTCCCCAAAGGTTACATTTCTTGTGTAGAAAATGAGCATGGCAGGTAAAGCCCTCATACCAAATGATTTAGACACAAAAGAATGATGTACAAAATGATGGATGAAAATCATAAAACAGCTAACAGACTTCCTAGGAGCCTAAAGGCACAGCTATGCTGCTCCTACTCCAAGATACCACCACCCCCCCCCCGCTGCAGTTTAATTAATGCAAATCTTGACATTACCCACCGCAGCATAATGAAAATATAGCTGAGGTTCAAACAGGGAGGGCACATCCCCTTGGCTCCAGATGTACACTTATTATTTCTCTATAGCCAGTTATCCAGTTTCTTTTTTAATCCAATCACTCTTCCACACATTCATCCTGCACCTTTTCCCCATGGTCAAATTACTTTCTTCTATTAGATTTTCACCCCCAAATCTCCATTTAATCAAACATACTCACTCCCTCCAGCTCCTTTAAGTATCTGTACCCAACTTCCCCCCCACCTCAGGCAGCACTTACTTACAATAAAATACATACTGGATACCCTGCATATCAAATAACATCACTTTATTTCAAGTTCCAAAATTTTCTGCTTTTTATTTATTCTCCAGAATTCAGAACCTTAAGTTGTTTAGAGTCACACAATATTTATTTCAACCTACGTAAACTCAATTATGTTCTCTTAATTTTCAAGTCCATGAGTTTAAAAATGATCTTATTACCAGTATTTATGCATCCTACAGATGTGTGCATTAATTCTGGGACGTGAACCCTGAATGATGCTTTCATTTCCTTGTTTAACCAGTGAGAAAAAATAGGACTCTACCCACAACTTGTTTTCATGAAGGCAAAGGACGGACCTTTGTTTGAACAGTTGGCCTTTAGGTTAGTCACAGTTAAGCTGTTTAAAAAGTCTTCAGCAAAGTACTAAATCCTAAATGTAACACAGAGCTGCGCCAGCACTGACAGAAAAATAGCTACTAGGTATTCATGAACTGCCTACTCGCAGCGGCATTAATCAGCAGATTAATGTTAGCATCACACAATGCATTACCAGCCATAATTTCCATGATTACAGTCTTTACTAAGCTTAAATGCTAATTTGTAATATGCTTCACAGGAGTAGAGACTATACTGAGGAAACAATTAGGGAAGAAGCACTTTGTCATTGTGCTACCCTCGAACCCCAGATTGTTATTTACACTCTTGAAGAAAAGA